GCGGCAGGGAACAAGGGATCCACTTGACGTAGAAATTAAAAATAAACCCAGTCAGAGGAAGGGGAATACGGACCTGAAGGTGAGGCGGTCGCGTCCTGCGGGGACGCAGCCGAGCGGAGCTGGCCCTGGCCCAGCCGCTCCCTAAATCACCGTTTTTCTGCCCTGAAGTGCTGCAGAAGAGGAGAGAGGAGCACGAGAACAGAGAGGCCAAGGAGCAGAGAGGCCAAGGAGCATCACTGCGCCTGCTCTACCTCCAGCCCTTCCTTCGGGCTCCCGTGGCTGAGCAAAGAAGCCGCAGCAGCTCAATATACCTGTATACACAGACAAAGAGACATTTTTCCCAAGCTACCCCTCTCCGTGACCTCCTCACCCTGAGTGACTGTGCTGCAAGAGGGAGGTCAGCAAGGAATTCAGAGCTGTTCACAGGGTCACTCCGAGCTTCCACCCCCATAACTCGGGCTGTGGCTGGAAAAAGCCCACGGCGTGGCCAGGGACCCTCGTAATAAAAAAACAAAAAAAAAAAAAAAAAAAAAAAAACAGTTTCTTGAAAGAAATGTAGATGGTCGTTTCCTGCAGTCTCTCCCTCCTCCATATTTAAGAGGTTTGATTTCAAAGTTGACAGCGTTGCACTCGGTTACTGGGGGGAAAGGCTGCGGTTCTGCTCCGAGGAGGGGGAAGGAATAAGGTGAAAATAAGCTCTTGACAGCAGAAGTCTCTCCAAATCAATCAGCCAGATTCGCCACTACCTGCTGAGGAAATTGCTCCTTCCATTCCCTTTTAAAGGAATTAATTCTGTTTATCGGAGAAGGAAGAGAGGAAGCAGTCAGCAAGGAACACCTCTGGGTAATTCCTCGGGGAAGGAGAGATACAACAGCGAGAAAGCGCAATCGTTCCTTCGCAAGAGGGCTTCGGAACAGCACATTACTGCGGATTAGGGAAAGCTCTCCAGAGGGGATTAACGTTTCACTGGAAAGCTCCCTCCAACGCCGCCTTTCCCTCGTGGGTCTGGGCCGAAGGCGAGACCCCAGTGCCCCTGCCCCAGCCACCCAGGGCCGGCGCCGCTCCGGGCTCCTCCGAGCCCCCCCGGCAGCGCCCGCCAAGGAGACGGTGCTCAGCGCAACCTCGGAGAGAAACAGCTCCCGTCAGGGCCGAGGGGTTGGGAAAAGCTGCAGCAGCGCAGAGCGTTGCCCTGAGCTCGTCCCCCTCCCCACGGGGGGAAGCGGCTGCTCCCCTCAGCTCCGAGGCAGAGCCGGGGATCCATCCGGCCGCTCCACCGAACCACGGCAAAGCCCCCGCGGAGTGGTGAGGAGGAGAGCAGAGGGTGCTGGCTTTGCCAAAGGGCCCGGGGGAAGCTGGAGAGCTGGCAGAGGAACATCAGACACACGCAGGGGCTGCGAGCCGAGGTGCAGAGTGCCCCGTTATCGTTATTTTAGCACCCGGGCTGGCAGCAGGTGAGGAATGACCTCGCACTGACAGAAGAGCGGATGCTGCGACCTGCAGAGACGGGACAGAGATGTTTTCCTGCTTAGGTGCCGAGGACTGAATGGCTGAAGTCAGTGTTCCCCCCTCCTCGCTTCTCCCCCAGACAGAGGACAATCATTGTCCTCCTCCTACGCGATGCTTTGGAGACCCTGGGACACGCCACAGTCCAGAGCTCTCTCTGGAAAAGCAGGATCTCAATTTAAGGAAAAACATCCTAGCAAGAACTTCTACGAGAAGAGCATTAGCTCTCCTCGACAATTCGCAGCAGCCTGCCCACGCTACCAGCAGTATGCCTCCATGTGGGCAGCAGGGCGAGTGAGGGTCTCCTCCCCCTCTGCTCTGCCCTGGGGAGGCCCCATCTGCAGTGCTGGGTCCAGTGCTGGGCTCCCCAGTTCAAGAAAGATGAGGAGCTACTAGAGAGAGTCCAGCACAGGCCTACGAGGATGATGAGGGGACTGGAGCATCTCTGCTGCGAGGAGAGGCTGAGGGAGCTGGGCTTGTTCAGCCTGGAGAAGAGAAGGCTGAGAGGGGACCTTAGAAATGCCGATCAATATCTGCAGGGGGGGTCAGGAGGATGGGGCCAGGCTCTTTCCAGTGGTGCCCAGCGACAGGACAAGGGGCAACGGGCACAAACTG